TGCTCCAAGGTCAGTTTGGTATTATGGTATTGTGAGAGGAAGAGACCAAAATCTGTGAAATGAATAAGGGGACATCCACTAGTATGATATGGATGTGACCCATTCTTACTCGGTTTTGAGTTAGTTTCCATAAATTTATCCATATATAGCATTACAGAAAATCAACGCCATTTAAAGCTGTGGAAGGTACTTCTGAGTAATATGCCAGGGATTTGGAAATTTATCATATGAAAGACTACGGATTAACTGAACACAGTGCAGCAAAAAAGATTACTCTTTGATATTGTTAAGAGAGCATGTCACCAGGATTTAAAATCTTGGATCGATAATGCGTTCATTGAAAAACCAGCTGCCTATTAGTGTGAGGGGAAGAGTGAAGGTGCATTTTTTAAAAATGGCTGAATGACTTTCTTTTTCCTTTTCTCTATTTCTTTACATAGTGGGGCTTTTTTTAAAAAAACAATTGCAATCTTCCTATGACACAGTTTTCACTAGCATAGGGTAACTACTTTACATGTGCCATATGCAGCATTTGTTTGTTAACAATAAAAATCAGTACAGATCAAAATGGACACCTCTTAGCCATTATCGCACCAGCTCATCCAATGCCCAGTTTTACCCTAAGCCTGCTGACATTATTGCTTGCAAAATACGATTTTTTTAAATCTGGAATTAATCTTGTAAGGTGATATCTTTGATCCATTCCTGGGCCATATCTCTTTCGGTTCAATTAACTATGAAAATAAAAGCACCCAGCAAAATCGGAGGCCTTACAATGTGTTATTGTATGTCTTTCCCATATTTATATTCTTCTTGTTACAATGCACATCAATGCCAAACATCCAACAATTTGTCCACCTATGAGATAGTAGTGATATTGTAGAGTCCTTGATGCTCTCTGAGCTTTGTTTGTTTCCAGATGTTTCATTACCAGAGTTGGTAACATCTTCAGTGCTTGATGCAAATGCCTGCAAGCAAATGAATAGAATAGAATAGAATAGAATAGAATAGAATAGAATAGAATAGAACTGAATTCTTCATTGACCAAGTGTGATGGGACACACAAGGAATTTGTCTTCGGTGCTTAAGCTCTCATTGTACATAAAAGCTATAAGTGATAAATCATGATCATAGTCATGATAAAAATACAGTTTTCATAAATCGTAAGATGCAAGTGATAGTGAAACTAAGTAGTGATAGTGAACTTACTGAAACTAAGCTCAGAGAGTACCAAGGACTCCACAGTTCATCCCTGAGCTATGTTTATTATCTTCCATTAACAGTGATATTGTCCAGGGAAATTAAATATCTAGGTTTAGAGAGCAAGAAACTGGGGGAATGTGGATGAGATAGGCAAGAAAACTATCGTCTCTAGTGTAAGAATATGGTTTTTCAATTATGCTGTTTTACCAAGTAACTGGAAAAAATATAATAACCATTCGTGCTTTCTTAATACCACATATCGAAGGATGGAGGGAAGGGCTTGTTTAAGGGTATCTGTAGACTCTTCAGATCAACCATATCAGAAGTCCATCTCATGCCAATTTCACATCAATATGATTTTCTTTCCCTTTTTTTGCACCTGTATGGACATTTAGCACCGAAAGACAGTTGCTGGCACCGGTTACACATGAAATTCACTTCACAGCTACAGTATATGACCAGTTTGGTTTTTAATCATGGAGTTATCAAGTCCTGCTTTCAGCTTGGCAGCACAAAAGGGTGGGCCTGCTACCATGTCCTCCTCAGTCATTTACAAGAGGCAGTGACCAGGAGCAGGCTGCGAGTCCTGAGCAGTCAGAATTAATTTAATGCTTAATAAAACTGCTCACCTGAAGGAGCTTTAATATTAAGTGGCTCTTTGCAGTCAGCAGTCTGGCCTCATGGTTCATTCAATTGGTGGGTTTCCAGGAATAGAACTCCATGCAGTTAGGTGGGCCTGGAGATCTAATCCATCAAATACTAATTAGCTTAGTGCTTAAAAAGTCTCAATCACAGAACAGAACCATTAGTTATTTACAGTGTGTTAGCCTAGAGTTGGATGGGGTCTCCCTGATCAGGTGAGTAACATTTTCTTTACATTATGTCAAATGACCCAGCTAAATGTAGGTGAAGAAAACACCTCCCGCCTTAAATGTGCAAATTGACAGGCGGGATTAATTTTTATCAGATGGTGAAAAGCCAAGTAATCAAAATTATAGCAGTTTTCCACTATCTCAGGGGCTGCCACAAAGAAGAGGGAGCCAGGCTATTCTCCAAAGCACCCGAAGGCAGGACAAGAGGCAATGGGTGGAAACTAATCAAGGAGAGAAGCAGCCTAGAACTGAGGAGGAATTTCCTGGCAGTTAGAACAATTAATCTGTGGAACAACTTGACTCCAGAAGTTGTGAATGCTCCAACACTGGAAGTCTTTAAGACGAAGTTGGATAACCATTTTGTCTGAAATGGTATAGGGTTTCCTGCTTGAGCAGGGGGTTGGACTAGAAGACCTCTAAAGGTCCCTTCCAACTGTTATTCTGTTGCAGTAGATGATTCTCATTTTGTTAGCCATTCCATCAGGTACAGCTGAAGTAATTAGATGGCTTTTTTATACCTCTTTTTCCTTCTCTGTTTTTATTTCAATGATTGGGAACCTGACACAGATGTCTAGCAGTCACAAAAAAAGCATCTTTTCTTATCCTTATTCTTTTCGAGCTGACACAACCAGCCTGGAAAATGATTCCCAATCTAGTAGATACTTATTTGTGTAGGACTGGAATAAGGTTGTGGCTTCAGGGAAGGGGCTTAATCCTATTTACATCTCTCCAGAGTTCCCTTCCCCACCCGCTTGAATCTGTAGTGAGCTGCAAGGGCAGTAAATTACTTTTCAAAAGCAGGATCTTGTTATTTTTAATCACTGGTGAGCCAACAAGGATTTGAAGAGCTTTGAAGTCTGGTCATGGACTTAGAGATCTAACTCCGAATCTCTGTGTACCAAAGGCTAAGACTAGAGGGAAGGAGGGGAGGGGTCTATCTAGTTTTTAGCTTGCAGCTGTATTCTTTAATGTTCACAAATCATATAGGCATTGTTGAGTATATCTCCTTTTGGAGACTAGAGTTGAGTAGCAGAAGGTAGCAAGGAATGTGCCGCTGAATAGTCACACTATCAATCACAGCCGCCGAAGTTAAAACAAGTATAACTTTACTTGCGTTAACAAAAATAAACATTCTCCAAAACAAGCGATTAGTAGTATTGAATTATATACACAGTCTATGATACAACACATTGGTTTACAGATGCTCAACTCACGATTCACCATGCAGACAGGAACTAACATACAGAGTAGCCACCATCCAATATACAGTATTCAACTCCAATAACAAGCACAGAGAACATACAGGAACAACCAGGAACAAACAGTAGTAGTTCCTATTCCCTCTTATGGCTGATTGAAGCAACAGCATCCAATCACATCTCACTTGAGCATTTAAAGTGACAGATACATTATTTCAATCATGGCTTATATATATATTGCCAACCCAAGACTAAGATTGCATCCCTAACAGGCATTATTCACTCATCCCTTCAATACTAACTAGCTTTCTGAATGCTATTCTTCTTGACTATTGATGTTCAGACTGATAACACAAGGATAATATTCCCAGCACAAAAGAGAGAAACGATCAATTTGCTTTTACCAAGACAAAGTGCTGTCAAGTTATAATTCCTGAAAGCAAAGCTCCTGGATTGCTGAATGTTAGATATTTCTTTTTTTTCTAACAATTAGGCTAAACAGCAATGGAACATCAAGATAGCCGCCTAACAGTATAACACTGTCAGTTCATCTAATTTTCCCCAAAACTAGGGACCACTACCAGCTCTTTATTAAGGTCTTATGTGAGTTTATTCAATTCAGAAACACCAAGTTATAGTATCCATTTCATTTTCTGTAGGGGGAAACTCTGGAAGGCAATTGGTAATTTTTCCTTCGGTATCAAATAGGTTTTCCTAAGCCTTGATAATCTGAGAACTGATGAATGTCGCGTTTGCCATTTCCATATCAAAACAATCTCCTCCGAAACATATATCCTACAATGGTTTATGCTTTATTCATAACATACCATTTTTATGTATGCATGCAGCTGGAGAGATTGAAATAATTCCCAGCCAGAATTTCCAACCACAGTTTGTTGAATAAACAAGAAAGGCTACAAATCAGACAAAACTGTAAGCAAACAAGTGGCACTAAATTTGAGATCAGCACATGAATTAAACCAGAAGGTAGGCCTCTGGTTTTCTATCCCTTATTAAACTTTTGAGCAGAATATGTACTTTAAGCAACGGACATTACACTGTATGGATAAACCAATGAGAGGAACCATACTTCAAAGTTTTTTCTCATCTAACTATTATGACATGTCATGAATTTATGGCCAAAGGACTCACTAGCTTTCCATAATGTTTATGTGTCAGGGTAATGACGATTTAATAGCTGACCAGCTGCTGTAAGGCTGTAAACCGAGATAATGATATGAGGATGAGTCAGCAAGGTTACTGCCACTTTAAGAAACTGTATATATAAGGGAGGCCACCTGAGGGTGTCTCTCTCTCTCTCTCTCCTCACTCCTCGTGTTCTAACTCCATTGTGGTTCCACATGCAGAGTTGAAATTTGCTTGCTTGCTTGGTATTAGCCTAACACATGTATGTATATATAAGTCTTGTATATAAACAATTGTTTGGAAGATAAAACCTCTGTGTACTGTATTTTGCTCCTGGGTTGTCTCAAAATAGTACACATTCTGTGCACATTCTGACATTATGACAGGAATATCCAACCTTGTGAACGTCAAGACTTGTGGACTTCAATTCCCAGAATTCCCCAGCCAACCATGCTGACATGCTGGCTGAGGAATTCTAGGAGTTGAAGTCCACAAGTCTTAAAGTTGCCAGTGTTGGACACCCCTGGTTTATGGTATATTCTAGGAGTAAATTATTTTATTTTTCCTTCTTTTATTCTAGTGGCTGCATCAACAGCAAATTCCACAGCTGGGGCAGCAATGAATTCTTTGACTTCTCTGGGGACTCTACAAGGACTAGCTGGAGCAACAGTTGGATTGAATAATATTAATGCACTAGCAGGTACCGTAAACAGTGAGTATTTATTGCTGTGGTGGACACTCCAGCAATTTCCCTGTAATCACCTTAGGGACACTAATCGTTTTAGTAGAGTGAATGCTACTAGGGAAATAAGCACATGTGCAAAATGGGTGATAAAACTCGGAAATTCTATTCCAAACAGCTTTGGGCCCAAAATCTAAATAGGTTTTGTCTTGTTAAAGAATTATGATGTTTATAGTGCTTGATGATATTTTATCCTCCGTTCTAGGACACACACATAAAGCTTGCATTCAGATAGCTAGAAGGGATCAGTTCTAAAGGAGATTTTGGTTTTGTTTTAATTGTTCAAGAGAGATAGGTTTTAGTTGAAGGGGCAACTAAGGAGATGTGTTGCTACTGTTATTGCCCATAGAAGCTACAGTGGGACCTTGGGTGCTGACCGTAATCCGTTCCAGGGCTTTGGCACCTGATTTGGTCATGACCAGAAGCAAGACTGACTCTGCATGCGTGCACACACAAAAAATGGCGCGGAAGGGGAAATCACCGTGACTGTGTTTATTCAGCACCCAAGGATGTGTTCATGTCCTTGAATGAAACATTTAGCAGATTTTTCAGTCGGCACCCAAATTGTTCGCAGTCTGAGCCGTTCGGGACCCGAGGTCCCACTGTACTGCTAAGAGTAATAGCACAACATCAGTATGAATACACTCTAGATACAGGAGGTATGAAAAATACCCTCTGCCAGCAGTTTGAGTTATAGAATTCTACAAACCACACGTAATGCATTTTCAAATAAATCACTTTAGTTCTTGGCTATAAAGACAGGTAGGAGAAAAACGTCTCACCTTTGAAAGATATATACATTCTGCAATGTTTTTTACTAGAGTAGGTTAGATAATCGTGATATATGCCATGCTCTAATAATCTAGCCCGGCATACACAGTATATGATTCCGTTTCTATAGCTCTGTGTTGTGTGTTTGTGTGTGTGGGCATGTGTATAAGCATGTATTGTGTCTACAGATCAGCTTTTGCCAAACCAGCGCCTCAAAAATGGCCATTGGTATATGGGTTGAAGATTTTGGACATTGAAATTCAAAACCTCCAAAGAGGGCAAAATAGGGATCCCTACCTCATCCCCAAATTTCGCTCTCATGCCTCTCACAACTTACTTTTTCCAAAACATCGGTGTACTTTCTGAACCAACCAAAGCAGAGGTGGGTTGCTACTCTTTCGCACCAGTTTGGGCGAAACGATAGCGGAAATTGTGATTGGGTTGCTGAACCGGTAGGGACGGCAGGCCCACCATGCACCCAAACTGTTTTCCCGGTTGCCACAACGTGTTTTTTTTTGACATTTTTAATGTTTTAGCACATTTTTAATGGTGGCCATGGCCTAGTCTGCCTCCTGCACCATGGGGGGGGGGGGATTTTTTGCCTTCTCCAAACTCTGGAGGTTTTCCTCAAGTCTCTCAGAGAGCAAAAACTGTTTCCCCCACACACCCCGGGCTCCAGAGGTCCTCCAGAGGCCTCAAAGTGGCCTTCCGGAACTTCTGGGAAGCCTGTTTTCCCCCTCCCCGAGCCTCCGTGAAGGCCCTGCGCTTACCTTGCACCCAAAACAGGCTGCATGGAGACTCCTGGGAGGGGTGGGGTGGGCAGGGCCAGCCAGTGGTGGGATTTGGAGATTCTCCGAACTGGCCCTAACATTAGCTACGGGTTCTCCTGAATCCGGACGATTTCAGCCCACCCCTGAATTATACCGAAGCAGCCACTGAGGCTCAGTAAATGATGAACATGATGAAATATGAAGACAACTGTTTAAAGCATGCTTTCAAACTTTCCAGATATCTAGCCATGTCTACTTCACCAACAATGTATAACTAAAAGACAGGGAAGGTGAAGAGAAAGGCAGGTTCAAAAAGCATGAAACTCCCACTGCCATTCCAGTTTTTTTCCCCCCAGCTGCAAAAGAGAAATAAAGCTTTCTCAAGCTGTTTGCCTTTAACCAAAGGAGTTTTTTTCTGTAGTCTGCTTAGGTTGGTGTTTACTTGAACCTTTGAAAGCCAGTTGATACAATCAATGAAAACATGATTTGTTTCTCCATGCGACTCTCTCTCTCTCTCCATATGCACTCAATGATGCATCCGTCACTCTGAATTTTTCCGGGACTTCAAAAAGAGCTTGTGGGCTCACAAAAAAGAACAAAATAAAAATGGAAAGAGTAATATTTCCTGACATAGCAGGAAGCTTTTCTTCCTTTTATCTTTTACCCAGCCTGTGCTGGTGGAGAAATTGGCTATTTCTTGTCTAACTAAAGAGGCAATGTGGCCAGAGGTAGTTTCCTACCGGTTCGGACCGGTTTGGCCGAGCAGGCTGAACGGGTCCGAACCGGGATGGGCTGGCCATGCCCCTGAACTGGTTCTATTGGTGGCAAACCGATCCGAACCGAACTGGGCTGGCCATGCCCCTGAACCAGTTCTATTGGCAGTGACGGCATCTTGTTTTTTGCTTCTGCACACGTGCAGTAGCAATTTTTTTACCGCTGTTCATGCACGCATAGCGCACCTCAAGCGCACGCACAAAGCACGTCCCTGAGCTAATTGGCAGTAACAGAAGCCAGAACCCACCCCTGAATTTGGTCAATGCTGTAAAATCTTATTCTTTGACTTATTCTCTGCAGTTGCAACCAGTAAAACCCAAGGTATGAACAGGAAAAAAAGGTTGTCCTATCCTCCCAAAACCTATTATCCTCCCTCTGTAAGAGAGTTGAGCAGTTCCAAAATGTGAAAGATAGGTGGGTGGGAAGGAAGGAAGGAAGGAAGGAAGGAATGGAGGGAGGGAAGGAAGGAAGGAAGGAAGGAAGGAAGGAAGGAAGGAAGGAAGGAAATTCCTCCTTTTCCCTTTCTTCAAAATTCCTTGCTACTATGTTCTCAAAGGGACGCGGTGGTTCAGTGGCTAAGACGCTGAACTTGTCGATCGGAAAGGTCGGCAGTTCAGCAGTTCGAATCCCTAGCACCGCCTAACGGAGTGAGCGCCCATTATTTGTTCCAGCTTCTGCCAGTTTGGAAGCATATAAAAATGCAAGTAGAAAAATAGGGATTGCTTTGGTGGGAAGGTAACAGCGTTCCGTGTGCCTTCGGCGTTTAATCATGCCAGCCACATGACCACGGAGAGCGTCTTTGGACAGCGCTGGCTCTTCGGCTTTGAAACGGAGATGAGCACCGTTCCCTAGAGTCAGGAACAACCAGCACATATGTGCGTGGGGAACTTTTACTATGTTCTCATATGTCTGTACTTGAGCATGACCATAGGACTAGGGGGGTTGCGATTTTTTGATGGGTGGGGTTGCTTGGCCCCCTCAGAAGAAATATTTTTTTTCAATAGATGTTGCTTTCCTAAGTTCTCTGCACAGCAGTTGCCTCATTATTTCTTACCCGGTTTCTTAGAATTGTCCCTCTCTATTTTTTTTTTCCTTATAAAACTGTCATCAATGTAAAGGTTTAGGAGGAAGGTTATACAAGAAGATTAAAAGAGACAGGAATGTGATTTGACTGCAAGTAAATACGGCTGGTCATCCAGGGTTATTTATTTGTAGTCTGTTCCTCAAATCACTTTTCTGCAGCTTTGATCCAATAGCAACAGCCATTCAGCCTTGAAGAAAAGGAGCTGATGGGTGGGGGGCCAGTGTAAGGGTGGGCAGGAGATAGACATGTGCAGGAGATTTTATTGGCTTTTTCAATATTACATCAGCTTTAAACTCAAATTGCTATAATAGGCAATTTGCGGGTAAAAAAATATTAAAGCCACTGAAAGGGAGCTGCCATTCCTTTTGTCTTCCCTTTAAAATACCCTGAGCATTGTGATCCGTTAAAAATTTTAATGGACAACCCTAGCAGAGAGCTGTTCCGATTCGAGGTTTCTGCGCCTCCTTAGATTTTTACAAAGCCTTCTATAGCATCTGAGTTCCCTAATATTTTAAGACTGCATCTCCCGAAGGGGATATTTGCCGGAAATTCTATCAATGTAGTTCTAGCATGTCTGAAAAGAACCGGTTGAGAGAGGCAAGCTTAGCAAGTTTAATTTCCCAATCGTTCATACCTGTATTGGTTTATCAAAATATAAAATACAGAGATACACAGAAAAATTAAAATAATGGGACAAGAGAGAGGGGAAGAAAAGCATTGACTTCCAACTCCTTTTGGCGCAGCAGAATAAGGTAACAACATACAACCTTGGCTTGTATGTTATGGACTTTTTACTAATTAGTTTCCCAATTTTATCTGGTGATGGATCCATAAATATCATTGAAAGGTTGTTTCTCTTTTAAGAGTCCTAAATAAACTAAGTAGTCATTTCATTCATATTTTATTAATCGCTAACCTTAAGGAGAAATATGATAAGAATCTTCAAATATCTGAAGAATGGGTCACACTTTGTTCTAGAGCGGGGTCCCGCAACCTCCGGTCTGTGGACCAGCATCAGTCTCCAGCCCACTAGGAACCAGGCCACGCAAGTGAGCCAAAGCCCCATCCGCACACATGCAGGATTCAGGTGGCACCCAAAACCACACAAACCCAATCTGCAGAAAAATCAATCTCCATGCACCCAAAAAGTTGAGGGCCACTGCTCTAGAAATCAGGACCAGAATCAGTGGGCTGAAAGACTTTCAGGTTCTAATTCAGGAAAACATCCAGATTGCATAAGCTGCAGACAGTCGTTCAGGCCAGCACATAATGTAATGATTTCTCCTTCAGCGGAGATCTTCAAACAGAAGCTGAAGGTTTATCTGTTAAAGATACTCTAATGCAGGGATCGGCAACCTTAAACACTCAAAGAGCCACAAAGGTCCTAACCGGAAGCCCCCCATTCAATTCTGGAGCCAGCTGGAAGTCTGGTTCCCACACCATAGAGTCTCCTCCTAGTGCGGCATCTTTTTTCCTCTACCTGTCCTGCCTGAAAGCCCTATCAATTGTGGAGCCGATCGGCAACAGGGAGCCGCAGCAGAGGGATGAAAGAGCCACATGCTGCTCCAGAGCCACAGGTTGCTGACACCTGCTCTAGTGGATCTTTCACTAAGGAGGGGATTGAACTAGATGGCTCCCGTGCTCAGTTCCAACTCTTCTGTGATTATCTGAATAATCTACTGAAGGATAGAATTACCAATCAATAAGGTTCATCAGATTACTCCACAGCAAGGGTGTTGATTATCTCAAGAATTCCAGTAATTCTAGTAAACTATAGTCACTCTGAGACTTACAAGCTGAACGACCAATTTCAGCTCAGCTGTTGCTCCAGAAGAAAATATGAAAATGCTGAGTAATGCTTCCTCTGCAGATGGGATAATGAGGAACCCCTGAGTGGGAATTTCTTTTTTGTTCCACCAGCTGGAATGGGTATTTTATGATGAGCCATGCCTCCAGTGGCACTTACTTTAAGAAAAGATGAGCTATCTGTGCAGCCATTTTGTGAGATGATGCACAGCGTGTCCTCAAAGTATCCAGCTGCCACAAAGGTTTCCCAGCTGTTACCCAGAAACAATCTGTCCTGACCTATTAGTTTTCAATTACATGAGCTGAATTGGAAACAAAAGTCTGGTTCATTCTCCATAGTAGCAGATTCTTTGGTTTTCTAGAGACATATCTAGAACAGTGTTTCCCCTTCTGGATAACTTTGAGATGTGTGAACTTTCATCCCCACATTTCTTAGCAATGGCCATGCTGGTTAGGAATTCTGGGAGTTGAAATCCACTCATCTCAAAGTTGACTAGGTGGAGGAACATTCTTTGAGAATCATCTGTAATTGCATCAAAGCAAGTTAATTAAGGACAGGCTTTATATTACTTTAAAGATGTCTGTGATGCTATGAAGATGCCATAAATCAGGGGTGTCAAACTTGCATTGCCAAGGCGATGTCTCATGATGTATCGCGACTTTTCCCCCTCCCTAAAACCGGGCATGGGCGTGGCCAGCACGTGATGCATCCGGTCCGCAGACTGCGAGTTTGACACCCCTGCCATAAATCGTGGGAAAACAGATTGTTCTGGTGACCCCAATTTTTCCGAGTGCTGCCTGCATGCGAAACTGAATTACTATGAATAATAATTCCTAACCCCAATCTTTATATGTCTTTATAGATTGGATGTTGTCCTACCTGTCGTTTTTATCTGTGCCATCTGGTGAAGTGCCCGATTTGTATTATTGTTATTTCTTACTGCTGTGGTTATTATTTTTTTATCTGCATGCCCAGCCATTGTTGTCGGTGTCATATTAATGCTAACGATGTTTGGAAAGCACTAATGAATAAGTGCAATTTCTTTTCTCTATTGTTGGGTTTTTTGTAAAGTTGCTCAAATGCTCTCAGGTATGGCTGCCCTGAATGGAGGACTCGGTGCAACAGGCTTGACCAATGGTACAGCTGGCACAATGGATGCCCTCACCCAAGCCTACTCAGGAATACAGCAGTATGCCGCTGCGGCACTACCCACGCTATACAGTCAAAGTTTGCTACAACAACAAAGTGCTGCAGGCAGCCAGAAAGAAGGTAAGATAGGTAGGCATGGGGGGGGGGGATGCAAAAAGGGAGCAAGGAAGAGATTCTTAATTCAAAACGAAAGACAAATGAAACCTAGTGGTCTTCTAAAATTAAGTTTATTAGTACAGCTGCTATCATTACTATCAAGCTCCATCATTAAGTAGAGTTTTGTTATCCCATGATGCCCCACCTCCCCCAACACTCAAGGGCTTATGCTGCAATAGATGAAGATAATTGCAAAATATTAAGGTACGGCAGAAGAGAACATAGGTAGCTAAAGTCCTTGGTGCCCTTTGAGCTTGGGTATTCGCTTGCAGGTATTTCATTATCCAAATAGGTAACATTTTTGTTTGTTTATGTCCCATTTCCATTATTTTTACTAATAATTCAAGGCAGTGTGTGCATATCCAATACTTCCCTCCTATTTTCCCCAAAACAACTGTTAGGGGTATCTCCGTTGGGAGACAGAAAGTAGTACAGCGGAATGTACAGCTAGAGAGAAAGAATGTCGCTAGTAGAAAACACACAAATAGAGTTTCAGACACTGCTAGTAAAAACAAGTAGCTTTACTACTGATAATTGCTTCACAAGCAGTGATAGTAGATAGTAGTCCAAACACAATTCAAAGAACAAACAATAGCTTACAGTCGAAGTTCACATTCCGGTCATCAAGTCATCAAGCATAGGACAAGCAGAGAGAGAGAGAGGGAGGGAGGGGGAGAGAGAGAGAGAGAGAGAGA